TTATTTCTAAAGTTTAATTGTATTCAGCTCTGTGTTATAGGTAGGTCTGGTGAAAGAACACTTGGTTCAAAATTGATTAGGATGGCCGAGCAGATAGCAGAAAACCCTGCGACGGTTAATAGGAATCTAACGCTAGAAGTTAAAAGAAGAATTCGCTTGGAGGGAGCTGAACTGGAAAGCTTTCGGGCTAAAAGACGAGCAGAAGAACATGAAGCTGCTCGTAAACGGTATTTTTGCGAGTATTACTGTTCTAATCATTATTATCTTTTGTCCTAGCGAAGATTTTTCAATATGCTCCTCGAAGTCTTTAATTTAGCTTTTAAAGCAGTTTTTATGCGCTGTTTTTATTACTGACATGCCAGTTTTAGGTTGGAGGCTTCAAGAAGAAATGCAAGATTGGAACAGTCAGACTCATCGGACGAAAGCGATGATGAGGCTTTACTTTTAGCCACGTCAACAGCCTTAGCCAGTGGCACATCATCAGGGAGTCCGCAAGTGAACAGCTCAGCTACACGTCCTCCTAATTCTGCAAAGAATAGCATTGCGGGTCTGATAAATGGACGGCCGAATGGTTATGCTTTTGGGAAATTCCCTGTCTTATTCGCATTGACTGCCCTTTTAATCTAAAAAATGTCATCATACGTCTGTTTTGTGAATTGAGGACGTGAAATAATAAATTTTTTGTTTTTTTTTAAGGGGTTTCTAGTTTAACCCCTGCCCAGTTAGCGGAACAAAGGTCACACGACATTATGTGGAAGTGGGAACAGCAGCAGAAGTCATTATTTTTCAAACAGAGCAAAAAATCTTTTCCTGTTTTTCCCTATATTGAAGAGAAGACTCGGGTATTTTTTTTCTATTTTTTCTCAAAAATTAATGCTTTTCATTGCGCTGCTTTCCTGTTTTTAGTGGGATGATTATGGAGAAATTATTCGTCCAGAAGAATACACAGTCGCAGATTCTGCAATGGTTTCACTTATAGAGACTCGGCCTGATTCAAGTATGGACGATAAAGATGGAGTACAAATAATACCAGTGTATGAAGAAAAAGAGTGGCCTACAAAGTGTATAAGCCAAATAACAAAAATGGAGGTACAAACTAAGAGTTTTTGAAATTTTGGTTGGTAGAATTTGCTAGGATTTATGAAAGGTAATTGGGCAAGGTTTGAGGATAAAAGTTTTTTTTTTTTGAAGGTTTTGTGTCATGTTGAATTTATTGACTTCGAAGGCCGGACTGATGGCGAGTCGCTAAAAAAGATACTTTCTCAAATAAAGCCGAAACAATTAATAATTGTTCATGGATCTTCTGCTGCTACAAGGCACCTGGCACAATGGGCACAACGCAGTGGAGTGGTGCAGGTGGAGAGTTTCTCACAAAAATTTGATATGTCTTTTTTTCAGGGCTTCTTAATACTATTCTGTCACAGTTTATAATTTGATTTGCAGGGAAAGATTTTCACTCCACGACTTGGAGAAAATGTTGATGCAACAATAGAGTCTCATATATACCAAGTCACTTTGAGTGACGCCGTTATGTCTTCGTTAATATTTCAAACGGTAATTTCGTATGTTTATTCAGACTAACTATATTGCAGGAACTTGCTCTTTAAAATGCTAATATAAAAATATTTTGATCTATTTAGTAATATTTTTCTTTGCACTTTAAAGATTAGCGGATATTGCCCCGCAGTTTTTCGCAAGCAAAGTTAGTTTTTTCTGCTGACACTGATTGCTCACTAGTGATAAGTTTTAATTCTGATATCCGCTTCCTTGTGCGAAAATCTACTCATCACTTTGTTTACAACGACCATACTGTTTAAAGAAATTTTGCGTATTTGGTTGTTACTATCTGCATTGTATGTTTTAATCTTAAAATGCTACCTTTAATTTATTTTTTTTTT